CAATCAGCAATATTGCATCACGTACGATCTGGATAACAAGCGTATTGGCATTGCAGAAGCTCTCAACAACTAAGTTTTCGCGATCAACCACTTTCCAAGATTATTTGCATCTTCTATCGGGCTGAGGCTTTGAAAGTTCATCTAATAACCCGACGTTAAGTCCATATTTATATGTGTTTAAACGTGCTGCAAAAATTACTGCAGAAGAAAAGTACAGGAAGTCGATTGTACAGTACACGCTGATCATGTACAATGGTATAGGTGCAATGTTTTGAAATTTATGTGATATGCTGATTAAAGGAGATTTTTTTTCGACTTATCGTCCACTTTAATCACTGATAAAGATGTAGTCGCATTGGTCTTCATTGCAATTTCTGTTATAATAACTGGATTACCATATTTCCACATCAAATTCTACTCTCCAAAATGTGCATTTTAAAGAATTTTCGATAGGCTGATGGTTTCCTCACAGAATCGGTTGGACAACAATTTTGGATCGTTAGAAAATTGTCGATGGCCTGAATAAATCACTATTTCGGAGAGTGTTTCAATGCCCATTGCGATTTTAAAGGCAAAATTGAAATTGCGTTAGTGTAGCTGTACAAAACATAACAGTTCGGTGGTAATCGCTTGTGCTGCATTGTTTGTGTGATGTTCGATGTGTTCTAAGTGCGGGAAGCGATTCATTTCAAAACTATTGAAGGTTTTATGCGATTTTCGCTTAGTTTTAATTGTCACTGAATAATTTGCATAGGAGTTCGTTACTTTTTTGAGTGATTCAGCATAATCTGTTTGTTGGTTGGTTGGTTAGAATAGGCAGGTTGGAATGAAATAATCGCCGTCTTCACTGAACCAAAAATATATTTCCTTGAATGTTTGTTGTATTTTGAAGTGATTCGACTGAAGTTAATTGTGGTGAAGATTCACGATCCAAGCCGAAATCATGTCGTTGCCACCTCAAAGACCATCGTTGGTACCACGAGAGAATCGCAAACAATTGTTTGATGCAAACTATATCGCCGATTGGTTGAACACGTCGTTTCCAGTTTTGAGTGTAACACCAGAACACATCACTAAGCCGACGGTAAGCATTTTTTTTTTGTTGGATCGAATGCTCAGTTCTTATCCACATTTCATCCCAAT